ACATACATACATACATACATACATACTTTATTGATCCCGTAGGAGAAACTCAGGTGTCCAGCAGCAGTAGACCTCTAACATATAACTACATATTGCTTGGACTAGAATACACAGTACTTAATGCTTGCCTTTTATTTTGCCAAATGTAAAATAGTTATACTAGTTATTATTAGTTATCATTATTATGTTCTAGATAGAGATTTTATACTTGTTCTTTGATGCTAGAGTTAGAGATGTTGTTTTATTTGAATTAGTATAGTTCATTTATCCTGTGCTGTGTGCTCCTCTTTCCTACTGTTCTATAACTGTTCTCTTAATCTTAATCTTAAAAAAATAGTGATTCTAAGCTTGTGAATCGGATCCACTTCTAATAAATCCTGTTTTTGTGCATAAATAGTTTAAACAGTGGAGTTATGGCGTCCACTTCCTGTGCCGCAGCCGCTCTCCGACAGCTGAGGAAGTCCGGAACTAAAGTCCTGTGCTTTTATTGTGCCGCGGATCGTCTTTTGTGTCGGTGTGAAAAGGCGTCAGCAGCAGGTGAAGCCACAGCTGCCCTTTGGACCCCTCTCTGACCCGCGTCCCAAACTGGCGCCCTGACACTGACCTGGCGCCCCCATAACTCTGGCCTGAAGTATATTTAGAGAGGACATGTTTCTCAAGCATTTTCTTAACCCAGTGACGCATTCAGGCAGATTCAAGTCGAGGCCCGAGGGCTGAATCAGGGCCAGTAACACGTCTGAGCCGGTCCATCTCCACAAATATGAATCAGAACTTTACATTTTATTTTGTTTTTCAGGTTTGGTTCTTCGAGTTTCAGCCTGTATCTATATGTTCACCTGCTGTTCACAGTCTATGCACCTGTTCCCATAGACCTAAATCTCAACCTCAGTCGTCTCGGTGGACTATGTCGATTCGGCAACGACAGATCAGAGAATCAAACCGTTAAAACACTAGAAATGCAATAAAAACAAACACATGGAAGACATTGGTCCAGAGGGAGGAGGATGACCACAAATGTCCATGAATATCCTCGCCTGACTCTGGCCAGACCCTTGTAGGTCTCTGAGCTTCACAGGGTCTGGGTCTCCTTCACAGTGGATACATTTCAGAAGGCGGGGCTTGTAAAAGAATCCTTGTATGCGATTGGATAAACCACTTGTCCGTTATCTTGAATGACGTGTTCCTTCAACCGCTCACATCGAAACACACGACTCCCATTGTTTGCCAAATGCCGGCCAGATTTTCCAGCCCAAAACCCGCGAGAATGCCCATAAAAAAGCATTTGGTCGTTTATAATATCGCTAAAGATACAGTATTATTGTCAATCTTTCCTTTTGATTTTATCCACACTATCTCTTCGATTTGTCTGTGTTTGAAATATTTTTTTAAGATAAGATAAGATAAGATAAACCTTTATTAGTCTCACAGTGGAGAAATTTCAGTGTCATCGTTGCACATTACAGCAGAGAGAGGAAATAAGAGCACTCAGACGCACACATCAAAGTCTATTATTTAAGATAATAGACAATACATTTAAGATAAAATAAAATAAAATAAGATAAACTCTGGGCTATAATTGCACTTGGTTCGGAGTATTTACAGATGTCTATATTATACATTAGCAGCGGAGAATATGAGCTAGTTAGTGAGTTAGTCTTCCTCACGTTGATGAGGAGGTGGTTCATCTCCTTGGTCTTCCTCACGTTGATGAGGAGGTGGTTCATCTCCTTGGTCTTCCCCACGTTGATGAGGAGGTGGTTCATCTCCTTGGTCTTCCCCACGTTGATGAGGAGGTGGTTCCGCTGCGCAGGCGGTTTCTAATCTATGAAAGTCACTTTAGTTTTTGAGTTATAACCTTTTATAGTCCAGATACTTTACTGTGAACGCAACATGTGACCTGACCCAGATGAAAGCCACAAGCTCTGAAACAGTTTGGTTTTGACTCGACTGATTAGGTACTTTTTGTGTTTAGACCTGGATTTGTCTCAGTTTGATCCATTTCACAATTACTATACAGTAGTTTCATTTTATTTGTTTCATTTCTGTGTTTTTGACCTTGTTTTGTTTCTGTACTTGTCTGGTGCCTCTTATTTTGCCGAATGTCAAACTTTTTCACTTCTTTGTAATATTATTTTGAAGATAGAGCTTTTCTACTTGTTTTTGATGCTAGAGTTCAGGAAACGTGTGCTGTGTGATCCTCTTTCCTACTTTTTTATAACTTATGATGCAATCTCACACTGGGGACTTTTGCAGATGTATTCCAATGTGGTTTTACTGCAGGGGCCTAAATATGAATCCTTCTTTAATCCAGAAAGCTCTTGTACAAAACCAGATCCAGTCCAACGGTTCCGGCTGCGGCAGGAGGAGGTCACGGTTCTAAGTATTGTTTTAACCTTTCAGGGACCTTAAAATAGTCTTCAAAATGTGGACGTTTACGAGCGGCTTGACCACGCAGGTTCATCTGGATGGAAGAAGCACAACACAAAATATTTAATTTAGTTGATTTTATAATAATAAAGCATCGGTTTTATACAGCGCTTTTTTGGACACTCACAGACGCTTCATATGTCATTATTCATTCACTGTTATAAACTACTGCTGTAGCCACAGCTGCCCTGGGGCACACTGACAGAAGCGAGGCAACCAGTCTGTGCCATCGGCCCGTCCCACCACCACCAACCACTCACACACACACCAGACTCATTCCAATGTGGGGGAAGTGTCTTGCCTAAGGACACAACCACAGTTTGACACTTTACAGCCGCCCCACTGTGGCACCTGATGTTCCCAGAGGTCTCCCATCACAGCACTAACCAGGCCCTGCCCTGCTTAGCCTCAGGGGTCTGACAGGATCTGGCTTTCACCTGCAGGTAGAGCCACATTTTACTCATTTGTTTATTAACATTTATGGACATTGGTCTCTGCCTCTTTTGGACCAATGGACAAGTCTATTGAACTAAAATGGCCCGTATGATAAAAAGTTTGGGTACCCCTGAGTTAAACAATATTCAAGGCTCTCTTTCAAAACAGTGTTCAGAGCAGCCGTGGTGTGATTAAAGGGCGGCTACTGTGGTTACGTTTTAATACATGTGATTATGCACGAGCTGTGGCTCCTCTCGCACTCAACAGGTTTTACAACTTTGATATTGTCTGTCGCTGATTTGAGAGAACATTTGTCTGTGTCTGTGTCTTTGCCTCAAAATAAAAAAAGTAATGTAATAAATGTATGGCTTCCAAAACAGTTGGGTTCTATAGTCAGGCCTCTGTCACATCAGTGAAAAAGTGAAGACACCCTCACTCAGCCAATCCACACTCATCCCAAAAAGGGGCTCAGAGGGATCTTTCGTAGTCTGGTCGTACCACACCATAGTACAAATTTCATTTCATACTAAGGTCTGGATTTGCTCCATTGACTCCGTTAACAGGTGGGAGGGGCTAACTCCTTTTGCAGATTGAAACCATTGGATCTGAGTTTACTGTGACGTATGTAATGAACCTGAGTGAGTCGTTAGCATTTAGCCTAGCTTTAGCCATCTCCTTTGCCGCTAACGGAGCCCGTGGGGAGTAGAGCCACAATTTCTTCCAGAGATTACATTTGTTAAACATTCCTCTTGCTCCGGCTTCAGTTTCTTGATAGAACCAGACCAGATTACTTTACTATCGTATTCTCCGCCAAACTACAACCTTCCCGTTCGACACAAACTCTTGATGTCACCCACATCTAACTACAACACCCGCCTCCCGCGCGCTCTGATTGGTCGGATGGAATTCAACAGATTGTAATCCCAAACACCGGGACCAGACCCAGACGTTACCTGCAGGACATGATGATGGACCAGAGAGTACGGATGGATAAGACCAGGGTAAGTACTGCTTAATTACCACATGTTTTGGCCATTCTCTTCCGGCTTGGCTAGAGGAGAAACGTGATGTACTGACCTGTCTCTTCTCAGCTGTTGTTACTGGACGCGGTCAGTCGCTTTGGCCACGCCCCTCACCGCGCTGTGGAGAAGTGAGTCCCAAGTGTGCGCCAAGGTGTAGGCCCCTCGTCTCCGTCCATGGTCCGTGCTCCCCGCTTCCTGATTTCACCCACCTCTCCTTTCCATATTTTGTTTTTATTCATATACACGGAGGCGACAGTGGCTCAGTTGGTAGAGCATTGGCCTTTGAGCCTGAAGGTTGTGGGTTCGAGCCCTTTCACCACCAAAAGTAAAGTTCCAAACTGCTGTTGTGTCCTTAGGCAAGACACTTCACCCACATTGCCTAAAATGAGTGTCCAAAAAAGCGCTGTATAAAACCGATGCCTTATTATTATTATAAGTAACAAACAACATGTCAGCTAACTACTTTTGTCTATTAAAAGAACCTTCTAAGCTTTATGACAGTATGTTTATCTACTTGTATCGTGAACTTTAACCCCGTCCGGAGCGTTGGATAAGCCTTGATGTAACCGTGACGACCGGTTACATGTCCAGTCGGTGCGCCGCGGTCAGAAGTGCCTCCAGCATTCGCCACGTGCCCGGGCCCTCTTCAGCGGCGTGCCTGAAATGCACTCTTCTCCTGTTACGTATTTTTATATTTACGCCAGACACCGGGGAGGAGAGGAGGACATAACCTTTTCCACACGGACCAGAGCTGGGCTGGGCTGGGCTGGGCTGGGCTACAGAGGCTGAGATGTGGAGGAGGGAAAGAGATCTGAGAGGACATGCTAAGCCGACCACAATAAGATGGATTGGAAACTTAATTATTTATGATATTTAATACACAGCTGTTGAAGTGCTACACGGTTAAGAGAAAGTGATTGACTGAAAGAAGGAGATAAACGAGTGGAGATGGCTTCGATAAAGATTAAAAACAGAAAACGCAGTAAAACAGACCAAAAGGACGTACGTTTTCTTTCTTTTTTTAACATCAATGGATACTTCTGCCCTGATTAAACTGGAGACGGGGGACACAGGGCAAAACAATCTTGGAGACTTGGTGGTGGCTGGGTTCAAATCCCGGTCGGAACAGGGCCTTTCTGAGTGGACTTTGTATGTTCTCCTGTTTCGGTGTAGGTTTCCCCCAGGTGCTCCGGTTTTCCCCACCACTAAAAACGTGTGCAATAGGTCTGGCCTGCACCTCCTGTGTGGCGACCCAGCTCCATCTGCGGAATAACCAAGCCTTATCCATTATTTTAAATCATTTCTTAAAACTTCACATGTTGTATTTTACTGTCTGCTTTGTCTATGATTAATCTTTGTATTATTATGACTGTTTTTATTGTTTTATTATCTGTTATTTTTGTCTCTGTGTGGAGCGAGAGACAAATCCCAACAATCGTAAAGCGCTTTGTGACTACTCCAGGTGTCTCCAACCGTTTTCACCCAGAGAGCTACTTTCCCGGGACAATAAAGGCAGAGAGCTACTCTTTTAAGCGACCCTGGGATATGTTGGTGTGAACAAGCCTGATATTGGCTGCAGTCAGTATTAACCATTGCATATTTTTTACTAGTGCACAGGTCAGTGCATTTACAGTGATGTGTAATGGTAATGAATCATACAATTTGAAATATCCTGTATATTATTTAATTTGTAATCCTTTGGCGAGCTACCTGGAAGGGGGTGTCGAGCTACTGGTGGCTCCTGAGCTACAGGTTGGAGACGCCTGCTCTACTCTATGAAAGGTGCTACATAAATAAACATGACTTACTTATCTTGACGTTCTCCAGGATCATAATTGTGTTGAGGGATTAATGTCTCACCAGTAATCGTGCTTTAACCAGGTTCTGTTCACGATGACCTTTGAGTCATGGTCAAAGACTTTACCCCCTGACCTCTGGTAGATCAGTGACCCGTGTGTAGGTTCATTAGCCTGACTCTGAACAGACCCTTGTAGTTCCGCCGTGCTCCACCAGAGGCTCCACCATGCTCCACCAGAGGCTCCACCAGAGGCTCCACCATGCTCCACCAGAGGCTCCACCAGAGGCTCCACCAGAGGCTCCACCAGAGGCTCCACCAGAGGCTCCACCAGAGGCTCTACCAGAGGCTCCACCAGAGGCTCTACCAGAGGCTCCACCAGAGGCTTTACCAGAGGCTCTACCAGAGGCCCCACCAGAGGCTCCCCCAGAGACTCCACCAGAGGCTCCACCAGAGGCTCCACCAGAGGCTTTACCAGAGGCTCTACCAGAGGCTCCACCATGCTCCAGCAGAGGCTCCACCAGAGGCTCCACCAGAGGCTCTACCAGAGGCTCCACCAGAGGCTCTACCAGAGGCTCCACCAGAGGCTCTACCAGAGGCTCTACCAGAGGCTCCACCAGAGGCTTTACCAGAGGCTCTACCAGAGGCCCCACCAGAGGCTTTACCAGAGGCTCCACCAGAGGCTCCACCAGAGGCTCCACCAGAGGCTCCACCAGAGGCTCCACCAGAGGCTCCACTAGAGGCTCCACCATGCTCCACCAGAGGCTTTACCAGAGGCTCTACCAGAGGCTCCACCAGAGGCTCCACCATGCTCCACCAGAGGCTCCACCATGCTCCACCAGAGGCTTTACCAGAGGCTTTACCAGAGGCTCTACCAGAGGCTCCACCATGCTCCACCAGAGGCTCCACCAGAGGCTCCACCAGAGGCTTTACCAGAGGCTCTACCAGAGGCTCCACCATGCTCCACCAGAGGCTTTACCAGAGGCTCTACCAGAGGCTCCACCAGAGGCTCTACCAGAGGCTCCACCAGAGGCTCCACCAGAGGCTCTACCAGAGGCTCTACCAGAGGGGTTTGGCTGAACCACATGGGTCTGGGATCGAGTGCATAGCAAACTCAGCAGATCAGAAAATAATCGGCCAATCAGGATTGCCGGTGTTGCGTTGTGTTTGCACCGCCTTCTCGTACGTGTCTCAGGCGGCAGCGGAAGGAATCCAAGATGGCAGACATACAGTCTGTGAATTTTTTTGAAATACGAGCGAATTGAGACACGGATGTCACTTTTAATGCAATAGGAGGCGAGATGTTGATGGTTCTATGTTGATGGTTCCATGTTGATGGTTCCATGTTGGTGTAAAGTTTGGTTTGAGCACTGGTTTAAGTGTTCCTGTTTACAACACTACGCAGCAGGGTTGCCAGGTTGGGTGGTTTCCAGCATACTTTTTCCCAAGAGACAGCTAATAAATAAACAGAAAGACAATAAACAGAATCATGATAGTCCAAGTTGATTACAGTCCATCACGTTTTTAGCGTGTTTTTTTTTGGGCATTCTCGCGGGTTTTGAGCTTGAAAATCTTGCCTGCATTTGGCAACCCATGGGAGTCGTGTGCTTCGATGTGAGTGGTTGAAGGAACACGTCATTCAAGATGACAGACAAGTGGTTTATCCAATCACAGACAAGGATTCTTTAACAAGCCCCGCCTTCTGAAATCAAACTGCTATGAAGGCTCGGTCCCTCAGGGTTCAGTGTTTGGTCCTGAGGTGTTTAGCGACGATGGAGGAGGTCAGTGATGGAGGAGGAGGAAAGTTGTGTGTCAACTTCTTGATTCGCTTTCTGAAAATGTTATTTATCCTCAAGGGCAAATCTTTTGCAGCTCCAGCAGCGTGAAGTCTCTCTTCAATTAACGAGAACCGACGTGAGCTCTGGTCTCTGGAAGTTTTGAAAAGCACTTAGAAACTAAACTAATGTCTGTGGTGACACTCAAGAGCGGATGCAGGCCTTTTAGAGAGACGTATGATGGACTATAGTGAGACTAGAGAGGTCTGGGTCTGCATGTATACTGAGACTAGAGAGGTCTGAGTCTGCATGTATACTGAGACTAGAGAGGTCTGAGTCTGCATGTAGACTGAGACTAGAGAGGTCTGAGTCTGCATGTATACTGAGACTAGAGAGGTCTGAGTCTGCATGTATACTGAGACTAGAGAGGTCTGAGTCTGCATGTATACTGAGACTAGAGAGGTCTGAGTCTGCATGTAGACTGAGACTAGAGAGGTCTGAGTCTGCATGTAGACTGAGACTAGAGAGGTCTGGGTCTGCATGTAGACTGAGACTAGAGAGGTCTGAGTCTGCATGTAGACTGAGACTAGAGAGGTCTGAGTCTGCATGTAGACTGAGACTAGAGAGGTCTGAGTCTGCATGTAGACTGAGACTAGAGAGGTCTGAGTCTGCATGTATACTGAGACCAGAGAGGTCTGGGTCTGCATGTAGACTGAGACTAGAGAGGTCTGAGTCTGCATGTATACTGAGACCAGAGAGGTCTGGGTCTGCATGTAGACTGAGACTAGAGAGGTCTGAGTCTGCATGTATACTGAGACTAGAGAGGTCTGAGTCTGCATGTAGACTGAGACTAGAGAGGCCTGGGTCTGCATGTAGACTGAGACTAGATGCTTCTAAAGGATGTTTACTTTTCTTGTGTCCAGTCCATCCTCTCCTGACTTCCTCATTGGACGTCTCAATAATCTCAATCCCTGGAGGCTTTTTACTTTTGGTCTAAACCACAACAAAGATGGCCGCCGGGCTCTTATGAAAGATACAGGCCCATAATAATCCCGGGTCGGCCCGGGATAAACCTGAGAGGGGGATGAAAGCGGAGGTGGAGAAAGACGTTTGGCGACAGAGGAAGTATCTGTAATATCTTTGTCCCAGCGACGATTGTGTTTGTAACTTTATCCTTTTGTGTCGGAGCGTTAACAGCTTCCCACATGAACAATAAGCCACACTCTAAATGAGGAAGTGTGTTTGTGTGTGTGTGTGTGTGTGTGTGTGTGTGTGTGTGTGTGAGTGTATGATTGTGTGCACTTGTTTTCAACTCCTGGTGGGGTCCATAACCTGAGATTCCACTCACGTCATGGGGACTGGTTTTACGTGGTGGGGCCCGAACACCGGACCCCACTGGTCCAAGCTTAATAATCAATGGGTAATGCTTTTCTAACGGTCCTTATGCAGTCTCTGTAAAAATATGGAAAGGACCCCTGGAGGTTTACTTTCCTGAAAAAAGTGTGTTATGTGTCGGAACCCTGGTGGTGGGTTGCGGGATATCAAGGAGGGGCACACTGGGGCAATTTCAGTCCAGCAGGCTGGAGCCAATCATGGAGCAGCACAACAGAGGCTGGAGCCAATCATGGAGCAGCACAACAGAGGCTGGAGCCAATCATGGAGCAGCACAACAGAGGCTGGAGCCAATCATGGAGCAGCACAACAGAGGCTGGAGCCAATCATGGAGCAGCACAACAGAGGAAATCAGGTGTCAGGCTAGAAAAAGGTGCAAGTGTGTGGTTCATTAGGCTGCAGCCAATCACAGAGCAGCACACTGAAGCGCACGCTTACAACCCACTGGTAAGTGCTGACTACAAGTCATGACTTCAAATTGTTATATAGAATGATTACAAATTATTTGTTGTTTGTGCAGCTTAGTCAAGAGTCCCTAATTGATGAAGTCGACTCAGATTCTGACGATTTAACTGTCAAGAAGAAACCTGTAAAAAAGTATGGAAAAAGAAAAATCAAAAACACTTTTCTTCAAGACTCGGAAAGTGACGAACCAAAGGCAAATAAGATTGTTATCATGCAGCTGCAAAAGAAGAAAAATGGGGGGCGAGTTTACAGCAAGAGACACTTCTGCCTCTACTGTTCAATGTCCTGCCACAAAATGTCCCGTCATTTGACTAGAAAACATGGAAATGAAAGTGACGTAGCCAGAGCATTGGCTCTACCTGTGAAATCTAAAGCACGTAAACTTCAGTTTGATTTGATCAGGAATAGTGGAAACCGTGAGCACAATTTTGAGGTTTTAAAGGCCGGCATTGGAACTTTAGTCCCAGCTAAACAGCCAAATTGCCCAGTTAAATCCAGTGAGTTTTTGCACTGTATAGACTGTGGGGCATTGCTTAAGCGAAAGTCGCTGTGGAGGCATGTGGCCAGGTGCCGGCTTTCACAGAAAGATGCCCAGGCTAAACCAGGCTAAACCAGGTAGAAGTAGGGTCCAGTCCCTCTGCTCCCTAGCCCAGCCTGTACCGGAGGGCATCAGCAAAAAGCTGTGGTCTTTAATTTGGGCAATGCATCAGGATGAGGTCACGGGTGTTGTCAAAGCAGAAAAGGGGATTCTGAGACTCGGAGAGCACCTGTACTTAAAACACGGGCATGATAAGACTAAGCATGATTACATTAGGCAGAAAATGAGAGAAGTCGGTAGGTTAATTAACGAAGCAAAAACTGCAGGGAAACTGAAAACAATGAAGGATTTCTTTATTCCTTCCAACTTTAACCATGTGATTGATGCAGTCAGGTCTGTGGCTGGATATGATGAGGAAACAAATCAATACAAGACTCCATCCTTGGCCCTCAAACTCGGCCATAGCCTCAGAAAGCTAGCAGATATTCTTGAATGTGACTCAAAAATGGAGCATTGTGTTGATGAACTATTTATTAAAAACCTCCAACGAAGCCGGCTGCTTTTTGAGAAGAGGTGGGACGTCTGTGTTTCTTCTGCTGCCCTACAGACCCTCCGGCAAGCCAAGTGGAACACTCCGGACCTGCTCCCTCTGACTGAGGACGTTAGAGCCATGCATGCACATATTGAGGTATGTCGACCTGAATATGTGCAAACCCTAATAAGTGAGCAAACGTCTAAGCATTGGTCTAAACTGGCAGTTTTGACTCTTTGTGAGGTCATCATTTTCAATCGAAGAAGGGAAGGTGAGGTTTCAAAGATGCCACTGACAGCCTTTACCTTAAGAAGTAAGACTGGGATCCATTCTGACATTGCTCTGGGACTGTCCCAACTTGAGAAAAAGCTGTGTCAGCATTTTCAACGCATTGAAATTAAAGGGAAAAGAAGTCGGAAAGTGGTGGTTCTTTTGACTCCTGAAATGATTGCTTCGATTGAGGTGCTGGTGGAGAACAGAAGGGCCTGTTCCATCTCTGACCATAACCCATACTTCTTTTCCCGCCCGGGCGCAGACACCCACATCAGGGGATCAGACTCCCTACGCCAGGTAGCCAAAGAATGTGGTGCGGTGCATCCAGAGATGCTATCCTCAACCAAACTTAGAAAGCACATAGCTACTATGTCTACAGTTCTCAATATGAAAGAGAATGAGATGGACATACTTGCCAACTTCCTCGGCCATGACATTCGCATCCACAGGCAATATTACAGACTACCAGAGGGGACACTGGAGCTGGCCAAAATCAGCAAAGTGTTGATGGCCATGGAGCAGGGAAGAGTGACGGAATTCGAAGGAAAGAGCCTCGACCAGATACAAATTGAGCCTGAAGGTAATTCTTGATATCATTAAAATATGTATAATTTTTTTCCCCTAAAGGCCACTTGTATTTTTATTTTCTGTGCGACAGGGAGAGCAGTAGAGATCCTCTCTCAAACGGACGGGCTAAAAGAAACTTCAAGCGGAGAACCTTCAACCATTCATCCAGATGCACCCCATGGTAGTGGCAGTGCCCCTTCTGGTAAGTGTACCAGGTGGGGGATTACAGCCAGGCTGCTTGGTCCTAACCCTGGGAGTGTATATTGCTAATATATTTTTATTTCTCTCCCTAGAACGTTAGAGAAAGCCATGGTCTGCATCTGAGGTGAAGGCTGTGGAGAAGACCATGACACCTTTCATACAGACTGGAAAGGTCCCTGGGAAGTCTCACTGCCTGGCCTGGCCTGGCATGGCCTGCATTAATGCCTCACCAGATGACCTTAGACATCGGACATGGAGTGGCATTAAATTCTATGTCAAAAATAGAATCACTGCAATTCGAAAAAAAAATCTAAAATAAAATTCCTTTAAAATAGTTGTTTGGTTTCTATTGACTGTTTTGTATTACTTAAAGTAGTCCCAGTAAAAAAAGATTATGTCTATGGGTCCCATTCTGAACGGCCCTGTCAAAGGGACCCACCAGGTAACAAAAACGTGTATGTGTGTGTGTGTGTGTGTGTGCGTGTGTTTGTGAGTGTGACTGTGTGTGTGTGTGTGTGTGTGTTTGTGAGTGTGTGTGTGTGTGTGTTAAGACTAGATAAACTTTATTGATCTCTGTCACATTTGTCACAGATAGAATCACTTTGTGCCAAAGACAAAAGTGTGAAACATGTAAAAGGTTTAAATAAAGTCTGTTCAGGAGATAATTGTGTACAATAAAAAGGCTGCAACAGAAGCTGATTCTTCAGTCCTAGTGCAGAGACTTAAAGTGACTTATTGTACAGTCTGACAGCGGTAAAGGCCCTGCTCCTTCTTCCACTGAAGGAGCTCCTCAGCTCCTCTACAGTCCTGTGCAGTGGGAGGTGTTGTTCATGATGGAGGTGGCTTTGACTAGCACCTCCTGGCTCTCACCTCCTCCACAGAGTCCAGGGGCCTCCTGTCCCTCACCTCCTCCACAGAGTCCAGGGGCCTCCTGTCCCTCACCTCCTCCACAGAGTCCAGGGGCCTCCTGTCCCTCACCTCCTCCACAGAGTCCAGGGGCCTCCTGTCCCTTCACCTCCTCCACAGAGTCCAGGGGCCTCCTGTCCCTCACCTCCTCCACAGAGTCCAGGGGCCTCCT